CTCTCAAATCCCACCAGAGCTCATTCGCTCAGTGTGGAGATGTTTGTGTGTGTTCAGCACACAAAAGAAATTCTTTTTAGGATGCTCTGCAGGAAACCCATACTATCTATCTGACTGTCGTATACACCCAGAGATACGGCTGTTACACAATGGCCCAACATGTGTAGCATCGTGAGAACCTTCTTTCTAGACTCAGGGCTTGGCCCTGAAAGCCTAATAGAATGGGAAGTTAATCCATTGGTATATCTAATTGTACAACACGGTATGTATAGATAAGGGTAAATGTAAAGGTTTCCCTTGACAATTTTTGTCCAGTCGTGTTCGACTCTAGGGGGAGGTGCTCATCTCCATTTCCAAGCCATAGAGCCAGCGTTTGTCCGAAGACTATCTTCCGTGGTCACATGGCCAGTGCGACTTAGATACGGAACACTGTTGCCTTCCCACCGAGGTGGTCCCTATTTATCTACTCGCATTTGCATGCTTTCGAACCGCTAGGTTGGCGGGAGCTGGGACAAGTGACGGGCGCTCACTCCGTCAAGTGGATTCGATCTTACAGCTGAAGATCTACAGACCTTACAGCACAGAGGCTTCCACGGTTTAGCCCGCAGTGTAAATGTGTTTGCATGGAAGGACTGGAATGATATATGTGCATGGTGAAGCATTCTGACCAATCGGAATGTGTCTCGCATCAGCCAGAGAGATATACAAAGCAAGTGCCAGTTACAAATCTCTCAGATAGGGCCCAATATGTGACCAATAGTTGATGGTGCCAGAGAGGGCTAAATATGTAATAGTGTTAGGATGTGAGATATACTTGTTTATAGCAATAAATATGTCTGTCATCAAGTACAAACTATGTGTATAACAAATGCAATACATCTAAGCATTGTGAGTTTATTATAAGTATGTTTCTAAACAGTAAACATTATTAATGTTTTAACAGAGACCAAGTGATTATTTACTATCAATTGATGGCACAAACGTACACAAGGCAGAATATCAACTTCTGCCCTGCCAGTGGGTTTTTTTTTTTAATCGATAGGCACACAGCAGTTTGTGTGCAGACTCTGCTCCATTTTATATATTATTTATTTTAGCTCAGGTCAGCAGTGTACACTCACAGATACTACTGTACAGTTGTCACACAAGGGCCCACCGCATGTAGCATCATGAGAACTTCCGCCTGGTCTCAAGATTTGGACCTGAAATCTTAGCGAATGGGAAGTTATTGGGCTGACAACCACAGTTGTGCCTCTTTGTGGTGGTGTTAAGACCATCTTCTTTATTGCTTAGTTTTCCTTAGGATTACATTTGATACTTGTTTTATCACAACCTTGATAAATTATTTCTTTGCTTAAATTTTTATATTATGTTGATATTCAGGGTTTTTAATATTATATTTGATTTTTTTAATTGATAGAACTTAGACTATATTGCTTTTTGGTTTCAAACATTATTTTTGGTAAGTTAATGTTTATTGGGGACACAGCTGACAAACAGTAAGCAAAAATAAAAGGGAAAAAATTAAAACAAAAACATAGTGGTCTTTTAAGACTAACTGTTGTATTTTAATGTGAGCTTTCATGGACAAGTCCACTTTGTCAGACACATGGCAAATATTTATATTTGGGTTGTATTTGGCCCCATGTTGTTGATCTGGCAATGACTTTTAAGAACCTATTGGATATTCAGTTTCTCTCCCAGGAAACATTGTTCCGTAAACAATGACAATGATTGGTGGCTAAATTAATCCCAAGCTATAGGTGAGAAGAATATGGCAATGTCCACAAAAGCTCAATGAAAATACATCAATTAGTCTTCAAGGTGCCACAATGTTTTCATCTTCCTTATTCTTTTTATTTTCTTTTCTTTTTGCTTGACATGCTAGCATAGAGGCACATGGTCACCTCTTCTGAAATAAACATTAAAGTATCAAATGTAGAAAAACAGGATATGAATGTACTAAATGACAACAAAGACAATCCTGGGCAAATAAATACTCGTATTTCAGTTTCACTTCAACATTCTGTAAAAATAATAGGGTGGGAGGTTCAGAACTTGGAGAAGTCACTTTCGTGTATACTTTATATGAACCTGCAGCCAGCAGGGCTGGTAGTTATGTTCTTTGGAGGAATTTGGGGCATAGTCATCCAAAAAAAGAGAGTAACTTTTTTCAGCTGTGAAACAGGTATCTACCGTGAAGTGTTTCAGACAGAGTGAACTCATAAATAGCACGACCATGCTGCCAAGTTTAACAGTTCTATGTGAGAAAAGAGAGGAATTCACAATTTAAGAAATTTAATGTTTTTCAGAACTTTCGTCAGATGACTTTTCAGCTCTGACTACATCACGTTAGATGACTTGTACCTTGCCATTCCTTGATATAAACATAGTGTTATTATTATATTCCATTTTATTGCACCTGTCCTTTACGGTCAGATATGTTGCATGTGCAACAGAGGGTCACCCATGGCAGTTTTGACAACCAGCCCTTCTTGCAAAACAATTCCTTTTCAGCACAAAGCTCAGTTCCTTATCATTCCCATCAAGTTTACCACAAGTGTGCTAAACAGCCTGGAACATTGCTTGCACTCTTATCCCTCACCTTACATGGCCTGGCCTTGTTAAATCTAATTTTTCAAATTTATTTTAACATTCCACTTGGATGCCTGAAGGGGCAGAGAGATCAACTTTTTTCCTCCACCAGATGCCCTTTCCTTTTCTCTAATCAAAGAACTTTGGGGTAGTTACTTATTCACAGGAAACAAGTTAAAAGAAAACAGTCCTTACTTGAAGGGGAAAGGGATAAAGAGAGAGAGCAGGAAGGTCATTTTCACAGCCCTGTGGCAAAAAGAGGAGTTGTTTGTGGGATCACAAAACCACTGGTGCTTATTGTTAATCACTAACGCCTTGCCTTTGCTACGGATTAAGAACTGGCCCTTGCATAACAAACTATCACAAGCCCAGAGTTTATGGGACACAGTCCCAGTCATTTCTTGCCTGTTTTGTGATAAGTCGGTCTAATTCTGCACTTGACCGGATGTCACAGGGGGAAGATACAGTTCTGAAGGCTCCCCTAGCAATCCCTTGATCAGCAGAAGCCCTGAACTGGACGGGGGGAGGGGGTAGAAAGAGAAAAGGAGTTTCTCATCAAGAACAAGCAAGATTCACATCCCTACCCTAAAGATCCAGGGAGAATAAAACCCATCTTTGCCTGGGGCTGAGTCCCATTAGAGGTCACGCCCACCTGCTTATATGCCTTTGTTTTGGTTCATAGGCTACAGGGAACTTCCGTTCAGTTGTGGGACAAGAGGCTGCTCTCCTTTCCATATGCAAATGACAGAAATGAATCCATGCCTTGCTTGAGTAAGCAGTCAAGCATTCGCTTTTCCAAGCAAATCACTTTCACAAAGTATTGGTTACGCAAATACATCTTTGCGTGCATGAATCAGTGGTACCATTCTATATTTAAATGGCTGTATTCTCAGTGTGTTTGTATCACATATACATGTGACTGTCTACTAACTTGGACATTTCTAACAAATAAAGAACTTCCCTATCCTTTGAGGAGTCTTAGCTATAAGTCGTGGGTTCCCAAGCCCAAGGAGGTTGCCATGGTTATTTTTAGTTGCAATTATTTTTATATTTATTATATTAAATATGGTATACACTACAGAATGGTTTTTTTTTATTTTAATCCTCTTGGCCCACAGATAGATAATTTTAATCTGAACTGGAATTGCAGAAGTTCTGAGTTCTTTCTATACTCCTTTGGGGGATTTTCTTATCACAACACTCCTACTGCTTCTAAAAGAGCTGTTCTTGCTCCTTTCTCTCTGCTCCTCTGCATCTGCCTTTGGAAGATTAATGTCAGCGCTTCAGACTAGACCGTTCGCCCATCTCAAAGAAGTCTGAATGGAGATGAGCACGTGGTGTGTGCTGCGAACGCTGACACCCAAGAAGGTGGCAGCATTGAAAAGTTGTTGCTGCTGTGGTCGTGGTGTCTTTTGCTCCACTTGAGTCTCTGGCTTCTGGGTGTGGTGATGGTGGCACAGTATAGGGAGGAGGGACCTGGACAGGGAGATTTCTCTGGGTCCCACCTGAGTCATGGAGAAGGCAAGAGAGGCAGAAAGGTGATGGAGGAGAACCAGGGAGGAGATGGGGAATGGATGGGGCCCATGGCAGAGGTGTTTATTTTGACTTGATGGGAAGGGATTCTTCACTGAGGGGGCTTTTGGGGTGGGACGAGACATGAAGGGAGGGTTGTTTCCACACCCAAAAAAGTAAATTGAACTCAGTATATTGACTTTCTTTTTCCTTCTCAAATTTTATCTTACAAACCACCCCAATTATGTATTATTACATTNNTATTAATATTAATATGGTAGAATTATATTCTGAAAATCTATTTAATGTCTTTTCTTTACCCCATTAAAATGGCTTTTTACGCAAATGTGGGGGTTACAGATTACTTGGCTATTATAAAAGGGGGTCGCGACTTTAAAAAAGTTGGGAAACGCTGCTTTAAGTGATATAATCACAAGGACAGTTCTGCTGAAACCAGTCAGAATGTTCAGGAGCTATAAATAATGTAGGTTACAAATCATGAGCTCTCTATTTCGTATACAAAACAATAGTAACTTTCCCAAATTCAGGCCACTACAGTATATTATAAGTCTTGTGAGATTCTCTATGAACTTTTCCCTCTCCCATTTAACAACAACAACAACAAAGTGTAAACTTACCATGTGTACATGTCTACTTTGGAGTAAACATCAATGTGTTCAATGGGACCTATTCCTAGATACATGAGTATAGTGTTGCAGCCTCAAAAGCCTTCCTTTTCCTGAAAAATTCAAATTATTCTACAATATACATCAATGCAGCGCTATGTGAGGTAGTAGGTTTCATCCCCCACCCCAATCTACTTTTGCAAAGAAAAAAAAACATTTATTTTGTCATAGATATTGAAATAATTGTGCTTTCTTTGTCTTCCCTAGGTAGCCAGCTAATTTGCCACTTCTCCATGAAGAACAACAATATGATAATCCACCTTAATCCTGTAAGTGTGCTTCTCAATAATTTATTTTCGGTCTCAGAACTGGACACTGCACACAATTGTTTTTTTTTTAATCTCTTCCTTTCTCCCTCTCCTTCAGTCTTTCTCTAATGGGGGCAATCTATTGCCACAACATGTAGTTATTGTGTAACATTGTCAATGGAACTGAAGTTAAGAGAACTTATTTCTGGGGTATACCTATTCTGAGGGAACAGCCTGACTTTGCAGACAGCTTTTATTTATATTCTCAGTAAAACTGTTGTTGGAAGCTTTGCTGTTGCTGTGACCTGTTCTTTACAACTTAAACACATTGGAAATCTGACAGGGTTCCTTCCTGGCCTTTCTAAAATCATATGGAGAGCTACTAGTACAGTTTAATCTGTCTTCTACCTATTAAAGACCTCTGGGTAGTGTGGGCGGCATATAAACAAATAAACAAATAAACAAATAAACAAATAAACAAATAAACAAATAAACAAATAAACAAATAAATAAAGATAGGGAATGGGCCAGCTCACTGTCTCTTGAATTAGAAATTTTTTTACATCTCAAGTTCTTTCTATCTCAAATATGTGAACTTGAATATTTTGGTGACTATTTTTAGAAACAAATTTTTGACAGTAAGGGATGTTTAACAATCAAATAGATTATTTGGATTTGCTGGAGATTCTTAAAAAGAGGGTGGATAACTATTTGTCAGTGATACTTCAGCTGTGGATTTCCTGCATTCACAGTGAATTGGACTAGGTGATCCTTGAAATCCCTTCCAGCTCTACAATTCTGTGATCTGGCCATCGAGAGTGGCCAAATTCAATAGGTTTTACAACCATGGTGAACAGGACTGTGTGCTACCTGCCTGTCATGCAGAGTTAAAGACAAGAGGTATCTTAGAAAAAGAGGTGGCCACCCTCATTCACCAATAACAAAGCTTCAACACACTGGGTTTCTTAGGAGTAGGAGCAGAGGAATGCAGCCTCAGGACTTTTAAAGATTACTTTACGCCCTGGATTTAGAAGGACAAATTTGTCAGTTCTGATGTCTCCCACATTCACTTTTCTTTCTCGAATTCTTTCAGTTCCAAAGATGAAAAATTGTGAATTTTGAAAAATTGGGGTAAAAACTACAGAAATTTTTCCCCCATCCGTACCACCTACCTTTGTATTATATAATGTGAATAATGCCCCAAACATAAATAAAGAACACTACCTTACCCATATATAGAGAGTCATGTCCATGTAACAAAAATAATTTATATGTATAAACACATACTTTGCAAGAAACATAGCTTTGACCACTGACATCTTCAGAACAGTGCTTTAAAATCCAGTATTACCTTAAAACTGTACTGTAATTTCTAAAGACGTAGCTATGCTAGTCTCTCCTGCTTATGCAATTTTTCTTACATGATAAAATAAGGAAACATGATTCCGTTCTCAGGCTATATCTACAAAGTTTTGTTGGTTTATATAGCACTTTAAAAAAAAACAATTTTATATTTTGCCTTCCTTCCAAGAATGGCACTCAAGATAGCTGCTGAATAAATAAAACAAATAGAATTAAAATTTGAAAATGCACACTTTTAAAAAACCACAATATTGGGAAAAAAAGCCAGAAAAGAAAACATAAGAAGCCTAGTGAGGATAGACCGATAGACGAGGACTCTGGTTCAGATACCTGCTCAGCCATGGGTGTGTGGAACTGGCAAAACCGGTCCTTAAATATCTAACTTGCCTTGAAATCCCTATTAGGGTCACTGTAAGTCGTTTTCAACTTTATGGCATGTAACGACAGTGACAATTAAGTGAAAGGTCTTTGTCACGTGGTGGAAAGACAGGTGGGGGAGAGTCAGCCTAGCTTCCTCTGATAGGGACACCAATTGGAGTGTGATCCTTTCCTCCTGTTCTCCAGCTGTTCGACGAATCCCCCAGCAGGAGCACAGGTCTGTGGATGATCAGCCAAGGAGGAAGGGCAGGGACACCTGTGCTCCTGCTGAAGGCTGGTCAAACAGTCGAAGAGGAAGAGGAGAAGAGTGTGCACCGGCTGGTGAGTGGGGGATCCAGCCAGGGAGGCAGTGGAAGGGAACAAGCAGCCCCTGTGGTGCCGCATGTATGAACTGGCATGAACGTCCAAACTGAGGTTCGTGCCCATCTCTAATTGGGAGGGCTCTCGACTGATGAGATGCTGAAAACTGAAGAGGGAATGAGGGTTCACCCTGCCTGAGGCTCTAGCCCTCTGCTCGCAGCTCTGCTAGGATACATCTTTCATTGACCCCTTTTGACTGAGATGGGCCTTGAGCCACAACAGTAGGGGCAGCTGTGCCCGTACACAACACCTGTTCAATTCAGGACCACCCAGGCAAGAAGCAATCCTGGCTGATCTTGCCCACAGATGCCTATCATCGCAACAACACAAGCGTCCACCAAGGTGACGTTTGGCAGCTCTTTTGTATTTTGCACCGCATAATCGCTTTGCAAACAGCAATTATAGGATAAAGAAGAAAGCAGTAAAACGATCCCCGTTCCAAAGTCAACATCAGGGGGAACACTTGAGTAGCAAAAAGACATTGAAGGGAATTTTGCTTCAAAGCACGGTTGTTGGGGAGGAATCTCCCTGAGAGAAAAGTTTTAAAGAAGAGCAGTTCACAGATAGAATACCCTAATGGGATAGTATTCGGTTGCATCCTAGGAATTGAGGTGATAACCAACAATTCATTTTCGGCTTTCCAGAAGGTAATAGCACCCCCTGCTGAATTGTCTCCAAATTGTTTTGCAAAATCTTTCAGGGCCACTCCAGGTTTCAGATTTATTTATTTATTTATTATTTTATTTAAAATATCTCCATCCTGCCTTTCTCCTAAAAAAGGACCCAAGGTGGCTTACATCAATAAAATACAATATTTAAAAACTAAAAACAATATTTTACAAATATTGAAAAGTATAAAACAAATGCCACACTAAAACAGTAAAAAAAATCAACACTGAAAACACATTTAAAGCAACTGATAATCCGCTCTTACAGCTGAAATTGCATTGTTTATTTATCTAACTTTTATTTTAGTAAGCATTTGTTTATTTCCCCATTCGTTTTTAGGGTTGGGTTGTCTGTCTGAACACCACTGCCAGTTAAAAGGGGCCAATGTGGTGTAGTGATTATAGTGCTGGACTGAAGTTTGTAAGATATCGGTTCTAGTACCCGATGAGCCATGAAACACTGTAGATATCCTTTGGCTATAACCCTGAACTACCTTACAAAGTTGTGAGCATAAGGTTGGGAAGAGAGCTGTATGTGCCACCTTGAGCTAATTGGAGGAAAAGTTGGATATAGTCATGATTATAATTCATATTAATAACAGTGATTGTAATGGTTTGTAATTGTCACCATCACCAATCTCAGAAAAACAGGAGACAAAGGGATTTGGAAAGTGGCCCATAAAATGTTCAGAAGCATACAAGCAAATTTTAAAATGAAAGGATAATTAGCAAATGAAAGCACTAGGACACTAAGTGCTCGAATAGAAGAAAAATAATGTGGGAAAGTGCCATTTAAAAGAATCATAATTGCACAGTGACACTGTTAGTGGCTGAAACCCCAAATATACATGATTCAAAGTACCATCTACAGTCCATTTATTTGACAAGTCACATTGCCTTGTCTGTGTTCTCCTTTGGGCCTGATCCAAATTAAAAAACAGTGAATCAAAAAGTGAGACTTCCCTGCAGAAATAGGAAAGTACAATTCCTAGGCTCTCAGAATCCTTTTTCGTTTAATGAAATTTAAAAGGCAAATACCGTAGCTTAGCTGAAGCCAATAGATGTCCACATGGAAAAAAGAAAAACAGCAAACACTGCAGCCTAATCTGCCTGAAAAATCCCCATGAGAGGTACTGGCAGTATTGCTCTTGGCAAATGGTATGGACCCCTTGCTGTAGAAGTCCATCCATTGAACCCCACAGATATATTCTTATAGGGTGGCAGTGCCCAATTTTGCTACTGTATAGATTTCAGGGAATCACTAGCCTGTCTGTTCCCCACCCCCATAGAGGAGGTATGAAAAAAAAGACCTGGGTGAGTATTAAGGGCCGGTGGGGTGACAGTCGTCTTCAAATAGCTGTATCCAAAGAGTTGATCTACATGTTGGAAAAGGCTTGTTCTCTCTGACCCCCAGAGGGAAGGATTAGAACTAATGAGGGAAGTAAGTTTGAGTTGAGTGTTAGTACCAGGGCCAGTCACTCCACTGTTTCTTTAAAGCAAGTTTCTTTTTTTAAAAAACTTTTCAAAGACTGTTTTTGTGACCTTTCATTGCCTTCCATATACAGTATCTCCTTTCTCAATTTATTTTGTCTGGTTTAAATCTGGGGGTACTTAAGGTCACTTATTCCTGCTTGGGGGAAAACAATTTTATTTTTAGAAAATAATAACTCTGAAACTCTTTGCCCAAGATTCCCCAGATCAGGCAGAGAGCAAGAGCAGACTCTCTGCTACATCTGTGCCAAATTCGGTGCTGATCCAAAGTCCAGTTTCAAAGTTATAATTTTTTGTTTGGTCTGCCCCATTTTTTAGAATTGCCTTGTTGATTTCTTCTGTGGTACAATAACATCACTGCACTCCTGTGCTATGATAATTCCAGAGATAATCCTGGTGGCACACTGCTTATCCTTGTAGCGTGTTTTCAGAATTGCACCGATTTTGCCATTTGAGGAAGTACTTCTTCTATTATTCATCTCAGACTAGTGAGGCCTTCTTAAAGCACAGGATTATCCATCATATGAGAAAAGGATTAGTTAACTAACAACTTCGAAACCATGAGGCATGGAATGTACATTGTATAAAAATCCTTAGTGAATATGGCATGTTTCTTTGTCTCCCAGTGAAATTTTATTCCTTCCTCAAGGAAGAGGAGGAAAACTGGACCAACATGAGGCTACAAATGCCACGAGCAACAGACATAATTATTTCACTGCTTTCTCTTCATGTTTGGCTTGTGAACTGTGAGTACTCCGACATTTTTGCTCAGTTTTGAAAATGTCGCTCCTAGAAGCATTCTGTTTACATCTTGGATGACTTTCCAGAATCTGTTCAGCATCCTATGTGAAGCAAAGGCCTTCCAGGAAGGACAAGGCAAGGAGAATGTGTGACTCCCAGGACTTCATTACCTGAGGCATTCACTCTACTCCACATTAAGACAGGGCCAGCTATACTGTATTGGCCGTTACCAGTAAACACTTGTTATCCTTTGCCGATATTGTATTCATTCTGGAAAACCTTGGTCTTCTACTGTTGTCTGCTGGACTTAGTATGAATTTGTCCTCTTAAACAGCATATCCCAATAGTTTATTATCTTGGCTTCCCATGTGTAAGTATAAATGTGTGTGTTTTTGGTTAAAGTACAGGTCCTCTTGTTTTCTGTTCATTTAAAAATTGCAAATTTTGGATTGAATTGGGGTCTTCATTTCTTATCTGCTGGATTTAAAACTCTATCACTTTAACCCCCCCTCCAAAAAAAATGCAAAATAAAAAGAAACAACTGTATTTTAATATGAACTTTCATGGATGAAGTCCACTTCCTCAAACGTAAGAGTAACATGTGACCGTCGTGTTTATACATGGCCCCATGTTCATATGGGGATATAGATAATGGAAAAGGTGACACTCATTCATTAGTAAAGAAATAGGCTACCAAGCTGTGAATAATGTCAGTTTTAATCTACCAGGTAACAACAGCATGGTTGATACAAGTGGCAAACTGTGTGAATCAATGTAGCATATGCCTTATACTGTATAAACTTTATCTCCGTTGTTTTTCTTTCAAGTCTTATTTTGCAGTGTTTTTTTATCCCCCAGAACAGTGACTTTCACGTCATTCAAAGAGTGCCCAAGTAGACTGAAATGTTCTGAATTTGGTTTTCCTGTACTGCTATTCTTGATGTCAGAATTATGTACAGTGGGGTCTCTACTTAAGAACGTCCCTACTTAAGAACAATCCAACTTAAGAACAGCTCCATTTGCTAAATTTTGCTTCTACTTGAGAACAGAGATCCAAGATAAGAATATGAAAAAAAACCTTTCCTGCTCTTTTTTAAACCTTAGGTCATCTTAGGTTAAAAAAAAAATCTCCCCTTAGTGGTAGAGTACGTATTAACGAGCTTTGCATTAGTTCCTATGGGAACTAATGCTTCAATGTACAAACGCACCTCTACATAACAAAAAAACAGTCAGAACGGATTAATTGGTTTTCAGTCCATTCCTATGGGAAATTTTGCTTCAACTTAAGAACGTTTCAACTTAAGAACACCATTCCAAAACGGATTAAGTTCTTAAGTAGAGGTTCCACTGTAGTTTCTATGGACGGAAAAGAGCAGATACGGATTAAATGGTTTTCAATGCATTCCTATGGGAAATGCAGATTCAACATAAGAACTTTTCAACTTGAGAACCACCTTCCAATACGGATTAAGTTCTTAAGTAGAGACCCCACTGTACATTAATTCTTTTCCACAGAGATTGCTGTGTTTGTCCCATGTAGAGTGCAGAAGGGCATTGTTGACAATGGGTGGCGTAGATCAATTAGTGGTGGAACAAGTATGGCAAACTATTTTGCTTTTCCATATTGCTTGGAAATACATTATGATACCAATGTAGTCATTTTGTATAATGTTTTCCTTTCAGAAGGAAAAGTGGCATATAAGTAAGGACCATTATTGCTGTCAAAGACAGATTCAAGCATAGAAGGCAGACCTTCATCAATTTAGTTCAAGAGTCCTTGTGACAACTACTGAATTTATTATTTTGATTCCTCAGGTCATTCACCTCCTGGAAAGCCTACCATAAGCTGTCAGTCTTCAGGAAATGAAACATTTACTTGCTGGTGGAAACCTGATCCATACGGAGGACAACCTACAAATTACTTTCTACTGTACAATATAGAAGGGTAAGAAAATGTAAAGGGGGAAAATACATTTTGTTTTTCCTCACATATACAGTATTCAGGAAAAGAACCAAACAGTTCTCAGAGACATCCACCATTGCGAAGTGAAACAGTAAGTAACAGCCATCTTCTCCCAAATTCTGAACCTCCAGAATCCACCTTTTTTGACCATGGCTGCAGATAAAGCCTGTTTCATGCACATTTTTGACAGGTTCTCTCAAGCTCATCCCAGATGGTTAGAGGCAAGGAGAGATGCAGAGGCTGCCAGCCTATGGAAGCTGGCTGCCTCTCAAGATGGCGGTTGTGGTGGAGGAGGTGGAGGGGGCAGAGGCACATAAAGGTAGTGAGGCAATGGAGCAGTAGGAAGGGGGTCAGGCTGCGGGGGGGGGTGGCAATGAACCAGGAAGTTAGTTGAATCTCAAGAAAGTGTTTTGGTTTAGGAAAGTTAGGGTTCTCTGGCTTGGATGAACCTGAACTGATCCAAATCAACAAATTAGCAATTTTGGACGAACTTCCTGCTTCGTTGTTAGCTTTGTGCCCATCTCTATTTAGCATTACACCACTAAATAAAATACCTTCAAAAAGAAGATACAATTTACAAATTGCATTGCAATTGGAGTCCTTCATCAGTGTGAGCAGTGCATGAAAAGGGAGTAGTTTCCCACACTATGCCACCCATCTGCACATTATCAGTTATTTCATCTGGATATGCCCACCAACTTTCCCAAAGTACCAGTATAGACAATCGCCCAATCCAAAAGCAAAATAATAATAATAATGTCACTTGAAACACTAAAAAGGCAAACAAACCAGAAGCCCTGCCAATATAATAATAATATTGCATATTCATGCCAAAATATCAAATTTACTGGTAATTGACACTAACATCATGTAGTCAACAGAATAATTATTGGAAAGAACAGTGAGTAACACAACACAGATAGATATATGCCCATCCAGTTATTTCCCTGGTCTACCAGGAGAGGGAATGTAAGGGCTGCAAGGGAAGATTAAAGCTTAACCCATGCATGTCTAGTGGCTGTAGTAAGATGGGCTGCATCTGAACCAACATCCTCAAGGCAGACATTGGTTCACATGCACTAGACGTCTTGTACTTTTGTAGAACGAATTCCCAGTTATTTCTGAAGAACTTGCCTCTGTTCTTTTTCATTTACAATAATGAAATTACTAAATTTAAGCTGAGTACTGAGTATGCTCATGTATGGCTATTTTTTCCTGGTAGGTGTGAACAAAACTTTTAATTTTTTTTTCCTGTTTTATTTCAGGGAAGAACAAACCCATGAATGTCCAGACTACGTATCAGCGGGCCCCAATTCCTGCTATTTTGATCAGAGTTTCACCAGCCTTTGGAAAACATACAACATCACAGTAAAAGCCACTAACGATGTGGGCGTTAATATCTCTGATCTCCATTATGTGGACATAAGAACATTAGGTAGGAGGAAAAAACCCAAATGCAAATCCAGCCTTGCATCTTGCAAGAGGCGGCCAAAGTGTGGCTGCAAGGCAGCATGAACTTCTCAAGCCTGGTTTTGTAGCTCTTCCTTCCATCCGAATTCTCCTCCGTGATGCAAAAACACATTTCCCGGAGGGCTGGGAGAGTGAATGGCCACTCTTGGAAACCTGCAGGAGCAGCAGTTCACAGACCCCCCTGCAGTGTTTACAACTAAAAACACCATTTTGGAAAACCAAAAGTAGATTTCCAGCCTTGCATTTCCTCCTGTTGTCCATTCCCTACAGAAGAGGGCTGATCTTGTCTGATTGGATTATATGGGTAGACAAGGCTTCCCCTGTCACAGAGCAGGCCTGCCTGCAACTCTATAGACATGGCCTCTGGTCTGGGCAGTACAGAATATGCAAGCGAGTTCGGTGTAGTGCAGTGATACCAAACCTTGGGTAACCCAGGTGTTCTTGGACTGCAGTTCCCAGAAGCCTTCACCACCAGCTGTGCTGGCCAGGGTTCCTGGGAGTTGTAGTCCAAGAACACCTGGGTTACCTGACATTGAGATCCACTGGGATAGTAGAGTAATAAGCTAAGGCTCAGAAGACCCAACTTTGAATCCCTGCTTGACCATGGAAACTGACCAGGTAGAATTGCTCTTTAAATATTTAGTTAAACTCCTATTAGGGTCTCTTTAAGTTAATTCTGACTTGACAGCAGATAACGCGCACACAAATATAATATACAGTGGTGCCTCGCTTAACGATTCTGACTTGACAGCAGATAACACGCACACAAATATAATATACCTGGTATGCTAAACAAGAACTGTACATACAACATTTCTGATGTATTTTTGTAGCTCTGATGCTGCTGCTGTTTCCCTTTGGAGGAGGGGAAAAGCTGGCAAGGTGTTCAGTACTGTAATTATTTCTTGTATCATTTTCATACAATGAATTACAATGCGATTTTTTAAACAGCTGCTCGGAGGTTCCAAAATGGCCGCCGCAACCATTTTCGCGCCCTGCCCTCGCTTACCGAGGGCGCGAAAATGGCGGCGCTATGGAGGAACTTCACTGAACAGTGAGTTTGGGGCCCCATAGGAATGCATTAAACGAAGTTTAATGCGTTCGTATGGGGTTTTTTGATCCGTTTATCGATGTTTTTGCATAGCGACGATTAATCCGGAACGGATTAACGTCGCTATGCAGGGCACCACTGTACCTGGTATGCTAAACAAGAACTGTACATACAACATTTCTGAAGTATTTTTGTAGCTCTGATGCTACTGCTGTTTCCCTTTGGAGGAAGGGAAAAGCTTGCAAGGTGTTCAGCACTGTAATTATTCCTTGTATCATTTTCATACAATGAATTACAAAGTTGAAGGAATTAATATTAATGGATAAATTAACAGGCTCATTGAAAGGAAAGAATAGAATGGCGCACGAATTTCAGTGGGGGGGAAAGTAAAGAGTTATCTTAAGAGAGAAATGGAGGAAAAAAATCCAACCCAGTACCAAGTGACTCAGGCATAAATTAGGTGCAGAACTGGAACTGCTCTCAACATTGGTAGAGATAAAAAAAAAACAAAATAAAGCAGATTGTTAATATAGATATAAAATAAGAATTAAGAAAGGTGTTATTAAGATTGCAAAGAAAATAAAAGTCTGGTGGAAAATAAGGAAGTAAAGATGTTAAAGACTTACTATTTTGCGTAAGAGATAATAGAAAGTTATCTTGGTTATGTGCTTACATTGTGATAATTATTTACATTGATTGTTCTTTTTTAAAGGCATCAAAGTTTTTTTTAAAAAAATTACAAAGTTGATTTGGGAATGCATTTTGCCCTGTTTACCCCAGGTGCCAGATAGACCAGTTTTCCAGGACTTGGCACTCACCAAATTTTTTAAATATATCTGCCATCTCCTGCTGTGAGCATAGCTGAAGGAGGGTTTAGCCCAGCACATCTGAGAGTCACTAGATCAGCTGGCACTCATGTAGATAATACAACCTGAAATGAATGACTCTTTTAGCTCACTGTACAGAAGCTATTTCTATTGTTCTGCTTTCTTTTGATCTGCTTTGACTGGTTCACATAGCATTTTGTAAGAAATAAAGATACTGACTCTTGAACTTTCCTTTGTGTAGTAAAGCCAGACCTTCCCATGGATCTATCCCTGGAAGTAAAACAACTAAATGGTATAACATACATAGAGGCAAAATGGTCACCACCTCTGCATGCTGTCGATGCAACAAGCTGGCTAGCATGTAATTATGAAGTGAGACTGAAACCCGCTGGAGAGGAAGAATGGCAGGTAACCAGGTTGTGTGCTTTTTAAAGTGTGCTACTCCTTTGATAAGTGTTGTTAAAACAGGATGGATTGGATGCAAAGGCCAGCCCAATTTATCATTCCCTTACTTACGTAACAGACAATGGAACAAAAAAGTTTTTATTTCCAAGGTAAAGGTAAAGGTCCCCCTTGACATTTAGTCCAGTTGTGTCCGACTCCAAGCTGTAGAGCCAGCGTTTGTCCATAGACAGTTTCCGTGGTCACATGGCCAGTGCGACTAGACACGGAACGCCGTTATCTTCCCATGGAGGTGGTACCTATTTATCTACTCATTACAATAGTCTAATCTCGAGATTACGAGCCCATGGACCGGAGTGATGAGTGCCCCAACATCAAGATAGGAGCGCAGCTGGGCAATCTACTGAAGATGTAGATGGGTGGTGCAGACCGCAGACGCTACCTGGGACTCCATGGTAAGCGCTGGGTCAAGATGGACCCCCAAGCTGCAGACCACACTCTTTGTGGTGAGAGTCACCCCCCCCCAAAAAAGAGAGGGAGCTTCCCAAACCACTGATAGGAGGGGCAGCCACCCTCAAAACCTCCGTCTTGTCCAAGTTCAGCGTCAGTCCATTCTCCTGCCTCCATTGCAGAACAGCCCCCAGGCAGTGCTCAAGGGACCCAATAGCATCCATTGCTGCTGGGAAAAAGGAGATATAAAGCTGTGTGTCATTACCATATTGATGACATGAAGCCCCACACCCCCGGATGATTCCTCCCAGCAGCCTCATATAGATATTAAACAGCATTGGAGAGATGATTGAGCCCTGCGGCACCTCACAATTGAGGAGCCACAGGGCCAATACACTCTCTCCAAGCTGAACTCTCTGGGAAGGGTCTTCCAAGAAGGACCGGAGCCAGGCCACTGATCCCTGACTCGGAAAACCATCCCAGGAGGATGCTGCAGTCGACGGTATCAAAGGCGGCTGAGATAACAAGAACCAACAAGGACATTTTGCCCCTGTCCACTGATCTCCGACTGGGAAAACGTTCCAGGAGGATATTGCAGTCGATGGTATCAAAGGCGGCTGAGATAACAAGGAGAACAACAAGGACATTTTGCCCCTACCGGCTTCCCTCAATAGGTCATCAAGAGGGCGACCAGTGCCGTTTCCATACCATGACGTGGCCTGAAGCCTGACTGGAACAGGGCATTGGTTTCATCCAAGACAGCCTGAAGCTGATCGGCCACCACCTTCTCTACAACCTTGCTGAGGAAAGAAACATTAGCGAAGGGCCTATAATTGCCAATATTGTCCGCCACCAAGCTTGGTTTCTTCCTAACAGGCCTAATGAGTGTCTCTTTGAGGACAAGAGGAACCCTGCCCTCCTGGAGAGACCCATTAATTATTGCAGTGGTCCATTTGTTTGTCATAGACCTGGCCGCTTTGATTAGCCAGGCCGGGCAAGGGTCAAGGGAGGAAGTGGTGGCACGGCAGTGATCAAATGACTTGTCAACCTCAAGTTATGTCACCGTCTGAAAGTGAGTAATTCTCACCAGGCAAGACGGTGTGCTGGATGTCTCGGCTTGATCTACTCGTTTCAAATAGGGGGTTAGGTCACATGCCTTGTCAACCTCAAATGATGTCACCGTCTGAAAGTGAGTAATTCTTACCAGGCAAGACGGTGTGCTGGATGTCTCGGCTTGATCTACTCGTTTAGGGGGTTAGGTCACAGTGAATGGCCTCCACTTTAGCTTTAAAAATGCTGCAAACTGATCAGGTGAGATACTAGGGGAGGCCAATCACTATGACCAATTCCGGATAGATCGTGTACCAAATAGGGGGTTAGGTCACAGTGAATGGCCTCCACTTTAGCTTTAAAAATGCTGCAAATTGATCAGGTGAGATACTAGGGGGAGGCCAATCACTATGACCAATTCCAGATAGATCGTGTACTATGCGGAATAATTCCGCCCACTGGTTGTGAGCTTCGCTTATCCGGACAGTGAAGTAAGCTTTCTTAATAGATCAATTAAATAAATAGGATTTGTTAATTCATCATTTATGTAAATACCATTGATCCAATGGGTTCACGGTACTCTGAATTTATAATCAGATTTAACCTGTGAACTGAGAAGCAATGGGATCTCATTCTATAGAAAGTAAAAGAAAATAATATATTAATTTTTCCTGCCAGCCCAAATGACTCATTTGTGGCAGAAATAATAAAGATCTGTCTTGAAATAATTATGAGTAATATGTTTCTCCCAGGAAGACTGTGTCTATATTAATAATACTGTATAAATAAAATTAATGTGTTTATCAACGAAAAAAGAGGCCAGAGAGAAACTGAGATAGAGCTGTTTCGAAGCACAAGACATAAGCAGAGATTTCTCTCTTTAGGGGCCACTAAACAAAATTAATGTGTTTATCAACGAGAAAAGAGGCCACCTTCTCTGCTTTTAATTCAGAAGTTTTCTTGAGAGAAACATTAGTAATTGATGAATGTCAGAAACTCCATTTATCAGTTTAGCAGGAAGAACACTCATGAGACCAGGAAGAGAGAAACTGAGATAGCGCTGTTTCCAAGCACAAGACGTAAGCAGAGATTTCTCTCTTTAGGGGCCACCATCATTGGAGACTGCGGAAAAGGTGCCTTTACAGACTACACACCAGCCGGTGTGGCCAGAAATTTCTCTGTACACTGACCAAGGGCACTAGAGTTAGCTAATGGCTGCCATTTTCCTGTTGATATGGTTACTGATTTTTATCCTGAATGTAATGCTGACAATGGAATATTGGAAAGTGGCACACATTTCCATTTCCCTCATCTATAATGTCCATTGAAATGGCTCTAAAACTGAGTGGCTAGTTAGGTCTTGCTTCTTTAAAAATGGCCCTGGGCAACATGTAGGCTCGACCAAACAAATCCTGGCAGCCATGGTAAATAGAGGGCGAGGGACCTGCAAATATGGAAGGTGACCACAAGATATGGCCATAAGGTAGATGACAAGGCACGGTGGACTACAAGACATAGTTATTGAATCAAATGTCAAGTTCACTTGGTCTTCTGTTTGTTTTATTTATTTATTACAAGATTGATTACCCTGGCCTTCGATCTTAAAAGTACTAGGATGCCCAGAAGAGATAAATAATACATAAAACCCTGCCAAATGCTCCAGATGTTCTTATAATTGTAGAGACTTTGCTTGGATGTCATATTTTGAAAATGTAGAGGCCCTTCTCATTGTCTTCTCCTGCCTTTGTTTTTCCCCAGACTCATTTCGTTGGCAAGCAGACATATTATAAAACGTCTCAGTTGGGGCCAGGAACAAAATACATATTTCAGGTTCGCTGTATAAGGGACCATGGGGAAAAGAGTAAATGGAGTCCAGAAAGATACATCCAGCTGCGCAGTGGTGAGTCAAAATCACTCATTTTGTAAAAAACTTTTTTTTAACAAAACGCAAGAGGAGCTAGCATTTGAGTAAAGTATGTAGCAGAGGGACTGCAGACTTAACATCTTAGTGGTTCATGACCACAGGTCCCCCCAGATGTTCTTAGGCTGCAACTCTCAGAAGCCTTCGCCATTTGCTGTGCTGTCAAGGGCTTCTGGGAGTTGTAGTCCAAGAACATCTGGGGACCCAATGTCGTGGACCATTGCCTTAGAGCCAAATTGCATATTGTGTCCAAACACAACTGATAAAAACCAATCTTACAAGCCAAGCAGATAATGAAGAATGGTTGGCAGGGAGAAATGTTGATTTAATGCTTCGCTTACGCAGCTTCTCCACCCCACCTCCACTAGGTCCTTTGAGGGGGTGGATTCCAGCTGTGGGCACATTCCCTAGACAGAACGAGGCAGGTTCATTTCATTTTTCCTTGCTTTTCATTTTTCCATCCTTCATTTCATTCTGCCCTGTTTCCAAACCAATTCATTCCATTCATCAACCTGTGCTTTTTGGCTTGCAGCGTTTGCAAGTTGCTTCATAAAAGGAGAAAGCTTTAGTTATCCCTTGCAGACTTGAGATGCTTGTCATGACATAATCAAGAAAATGGTCATAGTTTTTTGTTTTTTTATACTCCTAACCCCACACTCTCTGGTGTGTAACCACCGACTCACATGGGCTTCACTGACTTTTCCCTCTGTTGTTTTAGGCCAACCTCCGGGGAAGCCAGAAATATTAAGATGTCGATCTCCTGAGAAAGAAACCTTTACTTGTTGGTGGAAGCCTGGTTCTGATGGAGGCCTTCCTACCAATTACACTCTGCTGTATAACAAGGAAGGGTAAGGAGAAACTAATGGCAGAAGGTTCACACAGAGTAATTTCTAAATAAAAACAGCACAGAATCTTTGGGTACCCTAAAGCAGTGGTCCCCAACCTTTTCCGAACTGTGAACCAGTTTTGCGTGGGGGGCGGGAGAGCATCCATGGGGAGGCACCCGTATGTGTACGCGTGGGGAGGCGGGGCACCCATGCTTGGGTGCATGGATGAGGCATCTGTGTGCATGTGGGGATGCATGTGTGTGTCTGTATGTGTATGTGGGGGAGGCCTACGTGCATGCATGGGGGGCATCGTGGGGGCGGGAGATCTGTCTCCACGGCCCGGTCCTGCCAATGCCTGGTACTAGGCCACGGACTAGGGGTTGGGGACCCTGGCCCTAAAGAATAACAGATTTATGGGCAAAATTCTCCCAAGGCTTGGGCAGGGGACAAATGCTGTCACTGTGCTGTGCACCACTGCTGTTACAAAGGAACAGACCTCATTGCAAGAAGGACCTCTCTAGAGCTAGTGAAGCCTACATGCCTGCTTCTGAGGAACCCATCTTCAAAGGCAGGCATTGTGGGTAAGTGACCCAAGAGACTGTCTGTGCAAATATGGCACAGACACTCTCCCAGGCATCCTATCCGCAATGCTGTGCATTGGTGGTTGGGAACCACTGATTGGTGGGGTCAGTGGTTCCCAACCTTGGGTAACCCGGGTGTTCTTGGACTGCAACTCCCAGAAACCCTAGCCAGCACCGTTGGTGGTAAAGGCTTTTGGGAATTGCAGTCCAAGAACACTTGGGTTACCCAAGGTTTGGAATCATTGTTCTAAGCATACCTGAGAGGAAAGCATTTGAGGCCTGGCTAGCTTTGCAGAGTTGATGCATGATCCAGCAGTTTCTCTGGTGCCAGTTACCAGAAGAGGAAAAGAGCTGCCACAGCTCTCCAAGCTTGCCAGAGTCCAGCTCCAGAGAACCTACCCCACTGCTTCCCGCCTCAGTATCTTGTTGCGGTGGGTAGAGAGGCCAGTTAAGATCTCTGGCGCAGTAGCAAGGGGCTGTTTTGGTTTATTTGGTCTGTGCTGTGCTGTCTCTTGTGCCATGGGGTTTGAGGCAAGCCATTCACTCTGTCTAACAAAAGGGCCAGCTCTACTTATTACAAAAAAATTTGTGCACCATATCCTACTTCACCATATTTATCAGGTTTTTATCCACAAACGTGGGTGACATGAGGATGTTTATTGGGATGTAAATGCTAAGGCTCAGAAGGCTTTGAAGTGCAAGAAGTACAGGCTAATAATTACCTTAAGAGTTGCAATTTATAAAATAGCTTGGTGATAATAGAGAAATCGTTGCATGTGGTTTGACACATATCATGCATTATAAAACATCACCTTTGTTTAGTCCACAGGATGTAGAGTTTGACTCTCTTGTTGAATCATTCATTATTCATTGATTTTGCAGTGGACTCTGCCTTTGGGAGGCAGGATGGGCTGAAGTTCACTGATAGTTTATTTGAATAGAACCTTAGGTGATAAAAAGTGATGTGTCCTGGATACCATTCTAGCCCTGTGGATGTGTTCTCATTATTTTCACTTCACTCCTACCCACAAAAATGTGCCTATTCTGTGGGCCTGATGGAGTCAATTCTGGTTGGCAACAGCTTCCAGCAAGATAAGTTTGCTAGCCTGTAAAATGCCAGAAGCCTCTGTATTGTTTTGGTTTTAAGGGCAACCAACTAACATAGCTACCTTTCTGGAAATAATTTCTCTGTTTCTGTTTTTCAGAGAGAGGAGATACTATGAATGCCCAGACTACACAACAGCAGAACCCAACTCTTGTTATTTTGATAAAAAACATACTTCGCTTTGGATAACATATAATTTTACTGTAAAGGCAATTAATGAGATGGGGAGTACAGTATCCGACCCTTATTATGTGGATGTGGCTAACATAGGTAGGTAGTTCAAACAGTGCAATTGTAGATCTCTGGCAAAGCAATCTAAACATCCTGAGTTGTGGGTCAGTATTTTATGTGTATCAGCCACAACCCATGCATGGTGGCCAGTCGTACTTCTTACTGAACCTTGTGCTTTTGTGGCCTGCTTGGGATTGCAACAAGGATGGGTCGTTTTTGTCAAGCTTCTAGTGTGTCACACTATGTGGCTCATGAGCTGCATTCAGTATGATGGGTCACATAGTGTAAGCTTGCCATGGTTTCCTTCCATGGACAGTTATGCACTTGGCTGCTTCCACAGTCACTTATATACATACACATATGCATATACATATACATACATGCACACGCCCACACACACGTATGTATGAATGTGTGTGTGTATGTATGTATATACACACACATACACACATATACATATATATATATACATATATACATATACAGTACATATACATATACATATACGTATACATACATGCATATAGATAGATAGATAGATAGATAGATAGATAGATAGATAGATAGATAGATAGATAGATAGATAGATAGATAGATAGATAGATAGATAGATAGATAGATAGATAGATAGATAGATAGATAGATAGTCAGTCACACACACACACACATAAATGCTGCATACAGTTAAATAAGAATGCCATGCACTGACAGAGCAGAATTTTGATTTAGTTTTGTTCTTTCATGACTATCTCCTCTGCCTAAATGCACAGATGAACAGAAAATGTGTAAGCATCCTCTTTGTCCCAGCACGCTCCCTGTTGCATGCTTCGTCATACACTGGTTGCAAGATTGGTCACACAACTAGTCATACAATGGGGAACTTACTGGAGCTGAGAAACACTCTCTCGGTTCCTCTTCCCCACTGCTTTTAGACAACTGGGCACTAGTGACCTTCATATTTAGAATGGAAAGAACTTCAAGAAAAGAACATTTAAGCTGTACAAAAGCAAAGCTGACAGTACTGGTCATCCAGGCTGCAGACTTTGAGAGCTCTAGAACTCATTTGAATCCTGTGTCTTCAGCCATGATCATCTTGAACCAAGACACCTCTTCCCACATTAGGGTTTTAGTTTGTTCCTTTTCTTTTTTTTATTGGAGATGCTTATCTTTAAGACATATAGGGCAGGCTGATACAACATTTCTCTCTCCTTGATGGTAATTCATTGAATTTGGCCAGGACAGACGGCTTAAATTTCTGTTTCCATTCATTTTTTATAAGACTTTACCAAAATTCTCATATTCAGGATGGAAACAATTTAAGTTTTTAAAAAATTGAGTTGAGAAGAATGAAAAACTGACCAATTTTCCCATCCCTAATTCCATTCTTAAGTCTTATAGAATCTAGTTGTCTGTAGTTATGCCTTGATTACTAGCAACGGTGTTTGATAAAACACTGCCCTTGTTTTGTTTCTGCGTTGCCCCTTGAGAATGCAATTTAAAAACTTTGTTACTCAGCACAAAAAGAAAGCAATCCGTTTGAAGGAACCACTTACTTAGAGGGACCTTTTGTCCCCAACAGAATGGCAGCCAAAAGGAAGTCAATGCAGCATAGCCCAGCTGTCATGTTTGTCAAGCAGAAAAGGTTCATTTCATTTCATGTAATGGGGAAGAAAAGGAGAAGGATCATCCATTGATACTTTGTGTGTTATGTGTGAAGAGTCTCTCTGTTCTTATCTGTTTCGCCAGTTTTCAGTTGAAAGGCAAAACTTTCCGATGATTTATTTTTCAGTTCAACCCGATCCTCCAGAAAACCTGTCTCTGCAATTTGAGAAAAAAGTATATGGAGAATACCTGCTGTTGAACTGGGATCCACCTTCGCTGGGTGACGTCAAATCTGGCTGGCTAACCCTTGAATACGAGTTGCACATAAAGCCTGAAGAAGGACAAGAGTGGGAAGTAAGACAAATATTAGCTCTTGGTAGCCAAATAGTCTCTGTTCTGCTTACTTCATAGATCATATTACAAAACACTATAAGAAAAGTAACACAACAAAATAACCCTTCCTAGGCAATGTCCCATTGTGCTGTTTATGAAAGATTAAGTTGCACACCATATCATACTATATATCTTTAGAATTTCATTCAAAATATGCTTTTATTTATCTGTTAACTTTCATCTGTTACATTTAATTCCCCCAAAGTCTGTTAAAACTAGTACAACATCATATAAAACAATACTCCTGAGAGTTTAGAGGCAAACGTCCATGCTGACAATGGCCAGATGAAAGGTGGCAAGTTATTTGTTTCTCTTGCCTGTTTTTTTTTCACCTATTCCATATATTTATAAAATTGTGGTGTGGCATCTTTTAAATAAAAAAATGAGGGTGACTATGTGGACACTTAGCCTTCTATTTGGTGCCCTGCAGTTTCACTCCTAAAGACAGTGATCAGACTATCTCTTTGCTGGAATGAACCAGCCTGCCCCCATGCACCTTTCTGGCACCTGTCAGGGGTTTCTAGATTTTTGGTACTCAGGTAGGATCACTCTGTTTTGGTTCATTTCCAACAGAATGGCTGGAAATGAACCAAAAATTAATGTTCCTGTTGAACTGCCAATATCGTGAAGTGGCTTAAGAAGACAAGCACTTCAGGATAGTGGCAAATTAAATTCTTCTTCATCTCTGTGGAGGGGCTGAAGAAGTGGTGTGGGAAATAACTGTATTAGGGCAGTGTATATATGGAGGGATGTGGTAGCACTGTGGATTAAAACCGCAGAAGCTTCTGTGCTGCAAGGTCGGAAGACCACCAGTCGTAAGATCGAATCCACGTGAGGGAGTGAGCTCTTGTCGCTTGTCCCAGCTCCTGCCAACCTAGCAGTTCGAAAGCATGAAAAAATGTGAGTAGATAAATAGGTACCACCTTGGTGGGAAGGTAACAGTGTTCCGTGTCTAGTCACACTGGCCACGTGACCACGGAAACTGTCTACGGAGAAACGCTGGGTCTATGGCTTGGAAACAGGGATGAGCAGCACCCCCTAGAGTCAGACACGACTGGACTAAATGTCAAGGGGAACCTTTACCTTTACCTATATACACTGTATCAATTTCAAAAAACAAATGCCCAAATGGAAAAGTTCTTCCTGGGAACAGGAGAAGACAAGAGGGGAAATAAGGGCAATTTAAAAATACTAACAAATATCCTCCTCATTGCCCCTTCCTGTCTTCTCTCACTTCCAGAAGGAAGGTTTTCATTTGGCTTTTCTTTTCTCAAAGTGATGCAGTGTATTTGCACTGTCCTAATACATTATAAACAATTTTTTTTTACTACCTTGGTCCCCTCCACAGAGCCAAAGAAGTGTTTAATTTGCCAATACTGTGAATTTTCACTCTTCTTAAGCCACTTCAGGATATTGGCAAATTGACAGTGGGCTGGTGTGGACCAAATAGGATTGCCTGAGGTCCGTATTCTATTTGGATGCAAGGAGCACACCAGATGTCACACTGAGCCTCCAAGTGAGCCTGTTCAGCTTACACTAGCTGGCCTCAAAATAGACATGTAGGCAAGCCTTAAGTATTCTTTGCTGATGCTCTTGTTGAGAAGTACCTCTTATTTTATTAGTTTCTGTGTTCTCTATGTATTTCCAGAAAATATTTGTTGGGCAAAGAACAACATATAAGATGTTTAGTGTAAATCCAGGAGAGAGGTACATTGCACAAGTTCGGTGCAGGTCAGACCATGGCTCTTGGAGCGAATGGAGTCCTCAGAGTTTTATTAAGCTCCAAAAAGGTGAGAATAGAAATAGTTAATGAAGTCACTGACAAGTTTCATCTGGTATGGTTTATTAAAAGCTTGAGAGTAGCTAAATAGAAATAAGAAGCTACGTGTTACTGGCCAGTATCCTTATAGAGACCTTCACTGTCAGAGCAAGAGTGACTCACACACAATGAGATGAAGTCACATGCTCCTCAAAACCAAAAAAGAAACCTTTAGTAGTGGCAATTTGCCACTGTTGGGGATGTCTTTCCTGCTGCATCAACCACAACATAACACAGTTGCATTGACCACTGTAGTATAATGAAGAATAAGGTTCCTTCTTTTGCAGTGTAAGTGTAATCCAAATGCAAAAATAGGCGATAACTTTATAGACCTCTAGAAAATTATCACACAATAAATGGAGCTTTCGTGGATTAAACACCACTTCACTAGAATTGTACCAGTGTGGAGAACTTAAAAGTCTAAAACTTAAAGTCCAATTACTTCTATATGTACAAGACTGTGTGATTTCACTAACTAGATGCATTTTTTAGCAAAGGCCAGTAGTTTGTAAGATTCCAAATTCGTTAAAAAATAATTATAACCATCATCATCATCCTGTGCTGTTAAGTCAATTCTAACTTACAGTGACTCCTTTCAGGGTTTTCTGGGAGAAATACTCAAAAGTAGTTTACCATTCTCTAATTGTGGGGATGTCCTGGGACTATGCAGCTTCCCCCTGGTCACACCAGCTGGCTCTTTTCCATAAGAGGCACACGAGAGAATCGAATTCCCAACCTCTGGCTCCCCAGCCAGATACCTAAACCACCGAGCTATTCATCCAACTATAAAAGAACTAGAAATAGCTATTTTAGGTACTATTTATTTCCAAATGATAGAAAGTAAATTTTAAACTTTTTTAAAAAGTTCAGCTAAAACATTACCAAAATAAGCAGCAAGCTACATAACATGTAATAAAATGACTTACTAAAATTTCTAGCAACATTGATCATAACAAGCGGGGAGGGGGGGCTTTGTAATGATTATTGACAACTTATCTGCCTTTAGAAAGACAGGAATATTTAGCTTGGTTTTTTAAAAAATAAAGATACAGGAATATTTAGCTTGGTTATTTAAAAAATAAAGATAGGACCTAACATGAGTTCTGTTATACTACTATACCATAGTTCATGCTTTCTGTTTTTGAAAGCTAAGCAGGGTCTGGTCTCACTAGTGGGTGACCATTAGGTGAAACCAGTGATGTCCAGTAAGAACTCTGTCTGGAACTCTGAAAAATGATTGCTGCCAGTCAGAGATGAGAATATTGGACTTGGTAGACCAATTATCTGAATATTGAGATGGACACAAACCATCGGTTTGGCAGTTCATGCTGGTTTGTTTATCAAACAGTTGTTCAATGTTAAGCCCTGCCTCCTCCAGCAGGAGCCCACTCTGCACCCAGAGGAGGTGGGAAAGGGATACCAAGCTGCTGCCTCCCAGGGGATGTCTGCCTGAGGAGACGGGGTTTTGAAGCACCAAACACCTGTTTGGCTGATGAACAAACCAGCCAGAATCACCAAACTGGCAATTCTTGGTCATCTCTAGTCTGAATCAAAACTGCATTTGCTCCTGAGCCTGTGAGGTTATAGTGAGTATTAGAATGGAACTGAGGAAATGCCAGTCTAGCTCAGTATGGCTATAAAGGTCACTGGATGAACTTTCCCAACTTATTGCACCTCAGCCTAACCAACTTCACAGGACTGTTGTGGAGATACAAGGATAATGAGGTGTCACTTAACACTGTTGTGTAGTTTTTTAAAGCGTAAAGCAATCAACTGTAATTGTGTAAGATTTGAACTCTCCTTGTTTCCCCCCCAGAGGTCAGACTGAAGGATATTCTCGTTTGGATTTTTGTGGCCTGTTTGTCATTCGCAGTATGTTTGATCTTGATCTGGACGCTGGCACTGAAGCGAACTAAGTAAGTTGCCACTTTTGAATCTGCATAAACACAAGCACATTTTTATGTGTGTGTGTGTTCTTTATATATTAGAAAATAGGAGGGCAACCTAGCTCTCTCTGAAGAAATAGGAATACCCAGATGGTCAAGATTAAAAGCTGTGTCTGATTATAGTCCTAGTCATTCTGGTTTGCCAATCAGCCAAAGCAAAAGAAAAACCACCACCACCACCTAATCTATTCAGATGTATTCATTCATTCATTCATTCATTCATTCATTCATTCATTCATTCATTCATTCATTCATTCAGGTGACTTGTAGGCTCTTCCTCCAGACTAGATAAATGTTGGGACCTCTCACATGACTAATATTAATAATTTTGGAAGTGCAGACTGGAAGGGATCTTAGGGATCATCAAGTCCATCCCCTGTCATGGAGACGCAATGGGGAATCTTAACTCCCAACCCCAACCACCGAGCTATCCAGCAGTTCGACTTGGTTTCAGTGGACTTTGTTCTTCCAGACCTATTTAGGCACCATTCTTTAAAGAAAAAAGTTTCTGCCTTAAGAATAGAGGGCACCAAGACTATCCAGTGTTATTGCAGATATTTTAATGCACTTGGCTTGAGAATTTAGGGTCAATATTATAAATGGGAAAACTTAGGGGAAGCCAAACTTCTGCTTCCTAAAACCAAAAATGCATGACCAACTTTGCAAGCTTGTGTTCCTCTATAGGGAACCATTAACTGAGGACCAGCCTTAGCCAAAAAAGCATGACCAACTTTGCTTATGCAAGCTTCTGTTCCTCCTTCAATGTCTCCTTTTAAATCTCGTGGCCAAAGGAGAACTACAGGCTAAATGCGTGTCAACTGTTCCTACTATTTTTCTTTAAATAGGAGCCACAGTGGGAGGGAAGGTGGAATGGGAGTCAAAAAGAATGAAGACTTCCCTCCAGTGGCAAATAGCAGCTTGAAATATGAATGCATGAAACCCACAGCTAGTGGAAAGCATCTGTCTGAGGCCAAGACTTTATTTTGTGGAGTTACAAGCACAAAATTCTGGGGGCACAATTCATATCTTCCAAGAGATTTTCCCCAGTTCTGCTGTTCAGGACCTTTTAAAATGAAGATGCCAAGATCTGAATCTTGGACCTTTTGCCTATGAAGGGTGTGTGTGAACTGGCGTCCTACTGAGCTATAGCTGCTCCCCGCTCAGCAGGCTAGGGTTGATATCCAGCAACTGTTCAAATCCAATAACGGTGTTTATGGTAAATGTGCACCATACAGGGGTGGATGTGTAAAAATACCTTATTGGAAGGATGCTCATGCAGCTAAAATGGCAAGTAAGAGCTACTCCTACCTTACAACGTGTTTTTGTACTGTGCTCTATCATTTGTAGTTGGCGGAAGAGCCACCTGGATCTTGTAAGCTTTTGCTTTGCAGGCAAAAGGCCACCTTCCCCCAACCTGGCATCCTCTGGAAATGTTGAATTACAACTCCCATGATCAATGTGTGGAATGCTGGGTGTTGTAGTGCAACACACCTGGATGCTGGGGAACGTGGCTCAAAGGTGTTCCAACAGGCACAGTAATCCTTCATTCTTTCATTCCCCCCCCCCAAAAAAAGGGACACATGGGACATAACAATATTCTAAATATAAATGTTATTATAGCTGAAAATAAATTACATGGCAATATTTTAAAAATTGAATAAAGTGCATATTAATATTACTGAATGGTTGTTTAAAACAATTGAAATCCACATTTAATTCAAAATGTTTCATGTCCTTCACTAAGATGCCTTCATTGACAGCCAGTCACCTACCAAAAACTTGCTTGAAAGGTGTTTGGCTATCCTCAGTTATAATTCATTCTAATAAAATGTTCTGTTTCCTGAGAATGGTTTATTGTTGGTGGTTCCGAACAAGAGCTTCCATGTTGACGTAACCCAACTGCTCCTCTTTGTCTCTCCTCCTTTTCTCAGTGTGGTGGCTCGTATTCTGCCACCCGTACCGGGTCCCAAAATAAAAGGCTTTGATGCCCAGCTATTAGAGGTGAGTGTTTTTCATGCTTCCTGCAGAAAGTATGAATAGGGAACATGGTTAGAAGTATTCCTCTCTTCTAACTAGAGGGACACTTCTGTCGCTGCTTGTTTTCAAAACTCAGAACAAATCCAAGACCTAAAGCTGCCACAGCATAAGTATCAAGCTACCATATTTTTTTGCTTCATAAGACGCACCTCTCCATAAGACGCACCAAATTTTTAGGAAAAGAAAACAGGAAAATAAAAATCTGTTTTCTTCTCCTAAAAATTTGGTGAGCCTTAAGGAGAGGTCCGTCTTATGGAACACACCCTAGGACCCTTTGGAGGTTCACCCTGCCCCACAAGGGGCCAGAGGGGGTGAAATCGCCACCTTCAGGGACTCTTCTGAAGCTTCCAAAGTCTCAAAAGAGTCCCAGAAGGTGGCAATTTCGCCCCCTCTGGCCCGGCAGTGGGGGCAGGGTGAGCCTCCAAAGGGTTCTAGGGTCTGTTCCAGGACCCTTGCATGGCTCCCCCCACCCCCCACGGGGCCCGCGGGGGGGCAAAATTGTCAGCTTCTAGGACCTTTTCTGAGGCTTAAATGGCTCCCCCACCCCCTACGGGGCCCGCGGGGGGGCGAAATTGTCAGCTTCTAGGACCTTTTCTGGGGCTTAAAAGGCTCAGAAAACGTCCTAGAAGCTGGCAGTTTTGCCCCTGATGGCCCCGTGGGGCTGGGGGGGGGCTTGCAAGGGTCCTGGAATGCTCACTCTGACCCTTGCGAGGCTCCCCCCACGGGGCCAGTGGGGGCGAAATCGCCAGCTTCTCTCCATAAGACGCACAGACCCCCCCCCACTTTTTTGGGGGGGAAGTGCGTCTTATGGAGCAAAAAATACGGTACATTTGACATTAGTCCCCCTTGAGAAGACATACCTCTTTCTAAGAGCCAGGGTGGGAGAGAGGGAATAGTTTGTGGACGTGGGGGGTTGCTTCAACCCTTTGTTCTCCATTGCTGTTCTCATCCAAATCAGGGCCCCTGTGCATGATGTTTGACTTTGGGCTAAGACTTCCACTGGAGGCTCCATCTCCAGACTTCAAGGACCCCACGATGGGGAAGAAGACCATTCAATCCTAGTTTCAGTTGGAGTTAAAAGCCTAGTTTCCTTGGCTTTTAATGCATCGAATTATGCAGGCTGGCTGGCCAGCCACTGACTGGAGCCACCCTTTCAAAAGTTTTTGAGGGCCCAATTTCTGCTATTACTAACCTACTGCTAAGAACGGCAACGGTAGTGACAATTATAATAATGCTTAACATTAACAGCATTATTGATGTCATTGATCTTATTAAATACTATTTTAGACCTATGTATGCTGCATGTCCAGATGTTAAAAATACGTAATACAAATGTTACAGTCATTCTTAGTATAATACTATGTGTGTATCACTTCAGGCAGGAAAAACAGAAGAACTGCTGAGTGCTCTGGATTGCCAGGGTTTCCTTCCGACTTCAGACTATGACGACCTTCTGGTGGAATTTCTGGAGATAGATGAGAGTGAAGATCAGCAGCTAATGCCAAGTTGTCAAAAGTGTCATCCCAATAAAAAGTCACACCATGAAACGGACAGCGACTCTGGCAGAGGCAGCTGCGAGAGTCCTTCCCTCTTGTCAGAGAAACGGAAGGACACCAGGAATCTAGTAGAATTGAAAATGCCAGATACCAAAGAAATGCAAATGAACAGTGGTATAAAAAGCGCACAGGAAGTCCCAGAGACAGACTTTGAAGGGCCAGTATCCTGGCTTAGCAGTGGTGGACCACGGGCATCCACATGGCCTGGAGTTCTGCTTCTTAACTGTCCAACTCCAAAATGTTCCTATTGTGACAATACAGGAGTACGTAAAATGGCACTCAGTGCCTCAAATATAAAGACGTCGCCTCCTCTGATGGGAAGGGAAGAAAAAAGTCTTCATTTCCAATTGCCTACACCCACTGAAACTGTTCATAAAGGAGTACCAACCCAATTGGAAGATGCAGCAAAGTTTCCCCAAAGTGTTCTCAATGACCAAGGAACATCATGGCCACTCCCTCCAGACAGGGCACTTCCCTTATCCACAAAGCTGATGGATTATGTAGAAGTTCACAAAGTCAGCCCTGAGGGAGCACTGGCTGTTTTGCCGAAACAGAAAGAAAAGGAGGGCAAAACAGAAAAGCATCTGGTTCCCGGAGATACAAATGAATATACCAGGGTTTCGACCGTTGTTGCCAACCATATTCTGGTGTTATTTCCAGATCCGAAAACTGAGGCTTTGTCTCCCTTTCAGGAGCCACCAAAGGAGGCCGCTCAGAACTCTCAGCCGCACCAACCAGAAAAAAATTGGAGCTATTGTTTCACAGCTCCAAGTTCAAGCAAAATCCAGAGTGGTGGCTTAGACTACATGGATCCAAATAATTTTATGCCTACTCTGAATTAATTGAAAAGTGGGCTCAGCCTTCTACAGGTAGCACTACAAGTAAAATAATCACTGTCAGCACAAAGTCGCTCATTTTACTTAACTCGGTTGTATCTCACACCTTTGTATGCTTTGTATTCAAAATAGGCTGAGAGATTATTCAAGATCATTTCATTTCTATGGTAGATTTTTAGAGCTATTTTTGTGAAGAGTCATTTGCGGAAATTTAAAAAGTGAACGCGATAGTTTTTATTTTATTTTTTTAAACACAGCCCGCCTGTTTCTGACATTCAATATTAAGAGTGGATTTGTGCAATGCATGAAGAAAATGGTTATTATGTAATGTCCTTGGTGAAGGAATGTGGGCTAACATTTAGAAATACTGTGAAAAGTGATAGAACAATCAGATTCTCTGACTACTACACCAATAATATCTGTTTTTGGCACATGTGCCACAATCCAAATGCAGAAACACTTAGAGGCCACTCCAGTTTAAGACCTGCAGCATATGTGGAATTGTCATACTTCTGAAGAAGAGCTTTTTCCTCTCAATCGAAGTTCAGTCCTCACTCTGTCAGTGGTACTCCTGCCCACAGTGCCTGACTGTGGCATCTAGGATTATCTGGTTAACTGCATCCCATTCTTTCAGATTTCACATCTAAAACTTGTGACCGGAGTATGAGTCCTTGTGACATCTCAGGTGGAGGCTCTTATGATGTTAAACCATGCCAGGACAGGTGCATCAAGAAGGCTTATGAGTCATGATGCTGGTGCTGACACTGCAAGTCCAACATAAATATGGCAGCCATCATGGTAAGCCAGTGAACCCTGGTGCCAGCTGGAATGGGTGGGATAATTGCTACCTCACAGTCAAAGATTCCCAACCTAAAGTTCTATGAAAGCATAGCAGTTCCCCAAAATGTCAGCTGACTTCCTGAGACTCATCAATCTTAGTGAAATGGCTATGATAACAGTATCCTTGTTGCATAGTATAAAGTTGTGCAACATGATTTCATCCCTTAACATAGAAGGTAGACAGAGCCTGATCTGATGAAGGATAGTGGCAGTACTTTTCCAGCAAACTCCAGGCAGTTATCCTTGTAATTACCCACAATGCCTCAGATCAACAAAGCATTGCCCTGGGGCATTATGGATTAGCGAAATGCCTGTTTCTGATTGTCATTGGGGTATTGGATGGGGTGCTCAACCATGGGCCTTGTGTAGTTTCTCAAGAGCGCCACCAACTGATGATGGATGTCCTCTGTGTCATCATCTGGTCACTGAAGACCAACATGTGCTGTTGCTTCAGTAAAATTGGCCATATAAGATAGAATGAACACAAGATAGAAAAAAATATGTAACAGGCTGGTCACTGCTATTATTCCTACTGTTACTCTAAGACATCACTAGTGAAAAATTGCATATTCATTTCATGTTCTATGGTACGCATTTAACAGATTTTAAAGCCTCATATACAGTAGTTTTTTACTATTATATTTTTCTGTTTTTTTCTATTTTAAAAGAATCCTAGTTTTGTGAGCTTTTTAAAACCTATACAAAGTGTTGTATATAAAATCTAATATATTGATGATAGTTCTAGGTGGGAGTAAAAAAAATTTCTATATCTATTTTACTGCTTTGTTTTGCTGTGATAAATTATTGGTACTACTGCTAATAATAATGTGCCATCAAGTCAATTCTGACTTATGGTTACTCTTTTTCAAGGTTTTCCAAGCAGACAATTCACAGGTTTACCCTTCTCTCCTTCTGGGAGCACTCTGGGATTGTGCAGCTAGCCCAAGGCTACATAGGCTGGCTTATAGGAGGCACAATGAGGAATTGAACTCCCAACCTCTAAACCACTGAGCTATCCAGCCAGCCTGTTGTATACCAGAGATGGGCGATTTGTAAGCCTTTAGATACTGCCAGACTGCAATTTCCATTATTAGGGCTCATCAGCAAGTCCAATAATGATTAGTGCTGGGTGTTGTAGTCGAACAACAGTCTGGAAAGCCATAAGTTGCCCACTCCTATTGTACACATTTAAAAAAAAAATCTTCTCAGACTTATTACAACCAAACCCCTTTGAAACCAGTATCCATACTTATAAGTGTGTCAACATTTGGATGAATCAGGAAGTGGAATCTAGACTCATCCGTTCCTGTAATCAGAGCTTTGAAAGTTTACTTTTTGGGTGATAGTTCCCAGGATCCTCTAGCTTGCAGATTCTGGGAGCTGCAGTCCAAAAAGTAACTTTTTCAAATGCAGCCTCAAAATGGTATGAATTGCCCTACGACAAGTTTCAATTTCATATGCTGCCTTATTGTACATACTTCAATGTCTACTTTAATACAAAGCTTATGTATTTTTGCAGACTATTTTTGTGGAATTATAAATATATACAATTTAGTAATTTCCAAGACATATTTACTTAACCAAAAGTTGTATTGCCTCTTTCCTGCCTGAGAGCAGATCATAGAAGAGGGTGAATGCAGTTTTTATAATGAAAGTCTTTTGCTATAGGGATAATGTAGAATTCGTGTCAACTTGTGGTGGTTTTCTTGGCTTAGGACTTCAGTCCTTCTTGCCATATCAAATGGATTTGCAGGATGTATTTGTCCAAATATTTCAGAGATATACCATCCCATTGAACCCTCCACAGCTGCTTTGACTATGTCAAAACTTTGAAATGCCAAGTATACCAGACTTGTACCATAAAGATGTGGAGGTACAGCCTCTGCATCTGTGTCTGGCATAACAGTGTCACAAAGTGGGAAGCTATCAGTCAATCAGTAATATAGCTGGATGTTCTGGTTTGCTTTTCTGTTTCTATAATCTTTGCCTCTCATTTTATGAGCTATTGAGGTACCATATATAGCAGCCACAGGAAAGCTGAGGAATCTCTAGGACCTAGGATTAGGTAGGCTTTTCATTTGCTCTCACATGTTCTTGTTATGTTCTCCTGTGTCAACATATGTTGGATCCAGCTGTTGGCAAACCTGTGCTAGATCTAGCGTACCGAAATACAAATCCACAGCTGGGCAGTTTGTGGCACTCCAGATGTTACTGAACCACAACTACTGTCTTCTTCATCATTGGTCATGCTGGCTAGGCAGATGAGAGTTGTCATCCAGCATCACCAGGAGGTTCGCAAGTTGCCAGCGTTTGCCCAGTTCTAAATTACAAAAGCTCACAAAGACAACTGCCTTGCCAAAGCCAAGGTGACTGAATGTCCAACACAAACTAAACTTTTTTTTGTGGCTGTTGCAGTCAGAAATCATTTTGGGCCCACACCCCTGGGAAGAAGAAGGGAAAGACGGAGTCTTAGCCAAATGCTAACTGAGGGCGGGATGCTTCTTTTGATACAGAACAATGATAGTGAATATATTCTATCTGTTCAAGACCTGTATATCTATAGCTCTGTGGGTATGGATACATCAGGACATATAATCAAGTTTTTAATGTGTAGATAAGAATGAACGCTTTGTTGAATAATGTATTTCCTATAATAAGGACAGGGAAGGCAAGGGGTCATACTTGCAAGTAAATTGAGCTGGTATTTCTCCTCCAGGTCATGGCACAAGTTGCAGTTCCCTGGACTGGCTGATACAAGTATGCCTTTACCAGCTGGCAATGGGGAATTGGGGGGGGGGAAGATGACCAAACAAGAGAATCCTAATCCACCCTAATCTTGTATTGTGTCCTGCCAGCACTTGACTACTTCCTGCAGTGTCAGTAGCTAGATGATGGGGGAGATGGAATTACACTGAAGCCTTGGTAGGTCTCTGATTTCCAGGTATTTAAAGTAAGCCTGCCAGTTGGGCTTGGAAAAGTAAACTACACCCCCTTCCAAAGTTGAGAAAAATTGAGGGAGGGGAGTTTATTGGGCCCAAACAAGATTTTAGCATGATGATTGTTCCAGGTTCTCTGTTGTCCCATCTGCTTCTGAGTTTTCTCCACTCCTATACTGTTCACCGGGCTACTTATTCCAGCAGTAAATTAATCCAAAAGAATAAAATTAGGGATGTGTGATGCTTTTTATTCAATATATTAAGGAAGTATGCAGACTCTCATTGAAGTTCTGTGTTTCTTGATTGTGTTTGTATAGCTTTGTTCAACTACCCATGTGTGCAATTGTTTTTTAGTGTTGTTTGTATGTGTAGTCTATCAGTAATGACTGCTCACTGAAATGCCATTTGCAGCTTTTTTTTCTGTGGTGGCAACTTCTGAACCATCCTATACCCAAAACTCACCTTAATGAAGCCGACGACACTTTATGGCTGCAATGCTAAGTACAGTTACTGGGGCAGACAAGACCCATGGATTTCAATGGTTCTTCTGTGTAACTAGTGATCACGGGTGGATTTTTTAAATGCTGCTGACTTAAAACATGTGAATATTGTGCAGGAAAACCAAAGTAGCTTAAATCATCTAAATGTATATTGGCTATCAAGCCATACAGTAATGTTATAATAAGACAGGTGTTACATCACACATTTATATTTTTCTCCACACAAATCATACTACCTCATATTCCCTTTCCCCTCTAGCAGCTGAGAGAAAAAGAGAGAGAAAGAGAGAGGTTGCTATTGCTCATTATTTCAAAAGAAACAAAGTGAGCCCGGCATAAATCTCTTTCAGATACAATAGAATGTACCTTCAGAACACGGCCAAAGAACCCAAAAAACCCACAACAACCATCAGATTACGGCCGTGAAAGCCTTCAAGAATAAATGGAGAACCCTTCAAAAATAGTTGTTGTGGGCTTTTCAGGCTCTTTGGCCGTGTTCTGAAGATTGTTCTTCCTGACGTTTCACCAGTCTCTGTGGCCAGCATCTTCAGAGGACAGCAGTCAGAATTCTGTCTGTGCTCTGTTGCAATTTGTTGGATAGTTGAGTATTTATAGTCGTGGGAACAGCTTTTGTCCTTTTCAGAAGATAGGGTGATGATGGTGATCAGTGTGTTTTTGTTGTGGATTTATTGTTGTGATAAGTGGGAGAGATTATCTGCCACTGTGATTGATGGGTGTCTTTAGCTGGTCTTTTTTGTGCAATGACCCCTGGTCCTTGTGGCTGGGTAGAGTTCATTGACAACAGAGATGTGAAAAGTTTATCTTGTTTTGAACTAGAATTCCCCAATAGCCCTGCTAACTATGGGTAGTTTTTGTTGTTAAAAAAAGAGAGCGTTTTCTATCTGTGGTTGCCAATACATGCAGTATTTTACTGGGTCAATGCTAAGTTTGAGAGACTAAGACAGTCTAAGTTATTTCTGACCCAGCAGAATCTGCTGAAACGTACCGATAAATCCAGGAGGTTTTTTTTCCCTAACATCCCTGTTCCGAGCAATAAAATTCTGTCAATATTCCAGCTTTCATGACCTTGCTCAAAAGACCACTCTTTTTTTTTTAACAGAAGTTGGCATTTTTGGTAACATTGGCTGAGGAAATACCTACATCAACATATATACACCTCTGTATAGCTTTTGATATGCCAATGCACAATACAGCGTTCTCAAAGCAGAACTGGCCCTTCCATTTGACAGTGTGAGATACCTGCTTCACATGAGATATTTTGGATATCACAAAAAGGCAACAATTTGCCCCATCCAGGAATACAGAGAAGCGTTTCTGGGATTATCTTGGGTGCCATAATGTCTTGGGGGGCCTTGAGTTACTCTGCTACTTGTCTTGGGGAGAATATATATTACAAGATTTCTCTTCTTTATCCAGTATTTACAAAATGTACACAAAAAGCATGGGAAGCTCAGATAAGCTTTTTTGTCTCAGGTGCACTAAAAGTCCAGGTATGGGGCAGACCTAAGGGTCGTTCCAGGTTATCATTCTTTTTGTACTACATGTAGTACATGAGTAGTCAGCTATTACTCCAGGCTTTAAAAAAACATGTGGCCTAACAAACTGAAGGCAGGTTGTTCCTACGTTATTGGCAATTTCCTGGACCTTGCATTGTGCAACAGGCAGCAACGCTAGGAGGTACACTCTGAGCTGTGTTTGGTTTAGTGAGACGCGGTGTGTGTTGACAGGATGTACTACTCTCTTATTGGTGGTGACCCCGTTTGCCCTTCAGTTCTGCTTTTCTTCATTTAACAGGGAATGAAAAGCTGTGAGTTCTGTATCATATATTTCTAGGTGGTGTTCGCAGCATTTGGTACTTTAATGGTTCTCTCAATCAATCTCTCTCTTTCCATTTTGGAAAAAAAAACATACTCTTTCCAGCATTGGAGGAGGTGTAATACACTTTTGCAGTTGCCACAGATATGCTGTATTGTTAAGAAATCCCCTGTTGAGGATGTCCATTTGAGAGCTCACTACAAACACCAGGGCCAGCACTGCCATAAAGTCGATTGAGGGAATTGGCTCAAGCTGCAGATTTATGCATTGTAAAAGGGCAGTAAACTAGGAAAAGGACAGCCAGGGATGGGAGAGGTTGGATTTTGTGTTTCCTTTGCCAGGATAACCTGCCTGGCTTTGGATATTAGACACCTTGACAGAGATTATGGGAGTAGGGAGACATATTTGCTGCTCTGACACAGGCAACCAAATGATTTATTTATTTATTTCGAAAATACCTGTATACCACCTGAATGCTGAACACTGCTCTCAGTGGTTTACATCAAAACAATATATACAGCAAACAAGGACATCAAATAAAGCAAAATAATTGAGAAAACAAGACAGAATACAACTGTGTATAAAACCGAAGAGAGCTAAACTCTGGCAAGG